ATATTGCAAACGTAAAGTTGGAAATTTTCGAATGATTTCAAATTTAGGAACAGCATTTTATAAAAGATCTCTTTGGAGATTTATGCTTAAATAACATATAAAATGTTATTTTTTAAATCTCATGTAGTCGATTTTAATGTTCAGAAAAAAAGGCAAAATTTGTAAACATTCTGTAAAATACAGGGATCAACAAGCTTTTTTCAGTTTAATATTAATAAAAATTTCGAAGCCAATTATGTACCTATTTCTGAACACAAATCATAATGTTGTTTTATAGTAATTTAATCAAAGCGTATTAACATGATTTATATAACAGGAAAACTTTAAAATTATATTAGCGTATATAATTATTTTTTTCAGCAGATATTTTCAAAGGGAATAAATTTCAATTACTTGTATAAATTTCATTTCTTGAAAAATGCATCTTAACTGAATGAAAGTTTTCTAGTTAAGATGTATGCTAGAAATCTGCTTAATGATCGAAAAGAAGAATACTTTACGCGAACAAAATTCGAATTTAAAAAATATATAATCAACATTATCTTCCGAAAAGTGTCCAGAACTGGTGAAATAAAAATAAGATGAATAGAAAAAGGTGTGGTGGTGTAATTAATTATGGCAAAGCACACGAGGCCTATCTGCCTAAAGGGAGGGATGCCTTCGTGGAGGACTTTCTAAGGGAAACTGGCTCGTATACACGTTACACATGGGGAAAACCACGAAAACACCCATGCAGCCAGCCCGTTTGCAGGATTCGAACCTCGGACCGAACTACCAGTGTTCAGCGACTTTACCGCTCGGCCGCTGGTGGGCCCAGAATAGAAAAAAGGAAGTTTGAAAATTAAACCAAAAAATAAAATCAATGCATTATTCGTCAAAGGTTCTTTTAAATTCTATTCACAAATTTTCAATGAACATATTATTCAAGCATTCAACCATCATCGTGCACAAAGGGTACCTTATAAAAATATATATTTAGTGATTCGTTTAAGAAATCAAATAGGTCTACATGAAAGCATTTATATATATGAAAAGAAAAATATAGCAAAAGCGACAGAGAACTTTATTCATAAAATCAACTGATATTTGATCTAGGAAAGGGGAAGTAATGTAAATAGTATTTGTTAATATATTTAAGCATTTCTTACGTATTTTGCTTTCTATTATTTTTCCTCCCCTTTTGCTTCAATTCGAATGATTCAATTCCTGTTCCTTATATCTAAGGAAACTACCTTTAGTGGGATATATTCTTTACATATTATTCCGAAAGATTCATTCAGGAAGACATTTTGTTAACAAAAAGCTCAGAGCACGAGTGACATACGATATGCAATAAACGTTACGATTTAGCATGAAAACATTTATTTAATTCCTACATTAAAAACTATTTATTTAAAGAAATTTTCATAAGTATTTATAAATAAATAAAATAAAATCCCTCAAAACGTTTCTGTAAATTATGTAGAAAATTTTTGACAGGAGGAAGGAAATTCAAGTCCCTCTGCGGATGGAAATGATTTTGGACAGTAGCCACATCTAAATAAAGGAAACCTACACACCATTCCTTTTAAGATTTGGAAATCAAGCCGAAGGATTTGTCATTTTTTTCTTTGCGTTTTTTAGAAAAGTATGATAAACTGCTTCCGACTTTATTTCTTGAGGATTTTCCTCTCCACAAATGATGACTTGTCATGATGAATTTTACCTTACTACTCGTTTGAGCAATTTATGAGGTTTGCATTTTGACTTATAGTAACGAATAAGTATATTCAGAATAACTTCAACTATTAGAATTTAAATGTTTGCACTATTAGATTTTGGACTAATAGAAAATAAATATTTCCTGAAAAAGAAAATAGTAATTATTATTAGCCCTTCTCTGCATGTTGAATTTAGTTCAATGTACCATCAATAGTTAAGTCGATAATATTGCTCAACAAAGTTCCACCTTGTTCGATCCCTACGAAAAGGCAGTTCGAATTTCGGCGAGTTGACAACGTGCGCATGTTTCAGTGTTTTTCCATGTGTAACGAGATTATGAGCCCCTATCGTTTAGACAAACTTGCACTGAATTATCCCACATCTTAGGAAGATAACTATAGTTTGCTTTGCGATAATAAAACAACCTAATCCTTTCACTAGAAAATAATTATACTGTATTTACCGTATTTCCTAGTGTATTTCCCTTTTTTTATTGTTCGAAGATCTATAGGCAAAAAAATATGCAAACAATTTAATTTCCGAAGAAGGTGGATATAGTTAGAACATAACAAAGGAAAAGTCTTCTTTAGAAGAAATCTACACTCAATAAGAATGGTTACTAATATTACGTTTGAATATCTGAGGATGGAACCGATGTCTGAAGGTATTTGAGCCAGACACCAAATTATCATATAAAGCACGAAATGACTACGTCTTAACAAGACTACGTCTTGACTGCATTTACTAACAAGGATATCGAAGGAACGAAAGAGAAGGCGCGCGAAACAAGAGCCTCAGATTTTGAAAGATCGAACACGTCAGCAATAGACAAGGCTACAGTGATTTGAAAGACAGATGGCAGAAGTAAAATTAAAATCATAAAATATACCAGGTTTGAAATATTTTTTAAGACTACCATGTAAATAAATTACCTGCCGCATCGGGTAGCTTAACGAAGAATCTGCACAAATTCATTTGTTGCGTGTAAGTGTACAACGGACAGAAATGACAAGCTCGAATACTGATAAAACGAGTAAGAAATAACAAATTTAGAGTTACGTGTTCAAACCAAATAAAAATTATTAAACACTTTGTGCGTTATGTAAATTTTTGGATAACACAGTTAATAGTCCAGTGTAAGTAGAAGTGTGATTAAACAAACTTTTAAAAAATAAACTCGTCTTTGTTTAAAATAAACACATTTATTTATTTATTTATTTTATTTTTTTTTGGAATCTAGAACTTAATTGCATGACAAGCACAGTAATTGGTGTCAGGTCAAGGCAATAAAATCATTTTGAAACATAACTGCAATGTTATATTGGATTGGGGCCATTCCAATTAATCTTTTTACATTAATACTTTTAATGGCTGCCCTTAATTTTCATAGAATTCTAGAGGTACGTATTAGGCAATTTCAGGCCTGTGCACAAAGATTACTTCAAGTTATTTCTTAAATGCATTTAAGAAATACGTAGGTACTGGTTAAACAAATTAAATTGCAAATACACATTGATAAAAGTCTAAATTATAAAATAAACAATTTCACAACTTTATATAAATTTCAGATCTAAGACATTTTTGAAAAAAGCCGGTTACACTTTTGATTGCTTACCTGCATATTCTTTCAACACTTTTACTTAAGTCCAAAATTATACTTGAACTGGTTTGGGGAAATAAAGTACGTCAAATTACAAAATTGTAATTGGTAGCTGTGATCCTTCCTCAATGATGACCTGTCTATAGCTCAAGGGACTGGAAAAACACATGACTGAAAAGAGGAGGTGAATGGCCTGAGCTGTCTGAAGAGCGAGAGGATCACTTTCTTCCGGAAGGACCAATAACCTCCGCGATCTATTCTTCTCTTTTCATCAGTTGTTAGTTTCCCGCCATCAGAAAAATACCCTAATTCCTTCGGCTGATCCGCTTAGAATATCGCTTCTCTGGCAAAGAATCTACACCTTCAGTTTATGATAAATCTCAAATTTCGCTGTTGTCTAGAGTGGAAAACAAAGTGGTTTTCGTAGAGGAATTTCTAAGGGAAACTAGCTCATATACACGTTACACATGGGCAATCCACGAAGATGCCCAGAGAGCCATTCCGTTCGTCAGATTCGAATCTCGGACCGAACTATCAAAGAGAGTTCGCGCTCGGCCGATGGGGCCCAATCTGCGTAAGGACAGGAATGCCATGGTGAAGGACTTTCCAAGGGAAACTGGCTCGTATTCAATTTAAAGAAAACCATGAAAAATAACCAGGCAGTGAGCCTGATTTCTTGGAACTCAGGTCGAACTCCTAGTATTCCTCATTGTTCACCACTCGGCCACTGAAGGCAATATGAATTTGTATTATGACAAAACACTCAAGAACTATCTACACAATATTTAGCTCCAGTTTACTTGATTATGGCAAAATATGCAAGGGTTACCTACCTAAACGAAGGGATGCCTTCGTGGAGGTATTTTTAAGGGAAGCTGGCTCGCATCCATGTTACACTTCGGGAGAACCAGCTATTGCCGGTATCTAAGCAAGCAACGCCCAGTGTTCAGCGAGTTTATCTCTCGGCCTCTAGTTGGCCCTGCCTAAACAGAGAGAAGCTTTTAAAGGACCTTGAAATGAAAACAGTTCCTGTTCACGTTATATACTGGGAAGAACTGGCAACAAATTCTTATACCAGAATCTGAACCCCAGTCAAACCATCATATTTTATCTGTCTCGCAAATCGGCCATGGTTAGGAAAGTGGTTTTCGCGCACTGATTTTCCACTCGATTCGAGTCCTGGTTAACGAGATGAAAATATAGCTTGTTTAACATGGCAAAATGAAACAAATGTGCCACGTGCTAATCTTGTACGTGCGCGTACTCATCTATTTGTAACTACACTGCATACAGTATTTAATCTAATTAATTTATGAACTGTTTGATTCTAATAAATATTGGCGACATTGTTACGTTAATTTATCTGATATTAATTGGGTAACAGAACGATCTGAAATGAGAAGTATTACCATAAAATAAATCACTTTCTTTGTTCAAAATTTCTAGGATTACTGCGGCATTTTATAGTTAGTTTTATTATTTTTACAAATGGAAAAAATTTAATCATTTCCAACTCAAATTCAGCAGTGTAACGTTTTCAAAATCCAATCTCTTTTCATTAGCATGAACCAACTTACAATTTCATTTGTTCTGTTACTGCTGTTTACATAAAAGCGTGTTAATAAATAAAATGCAATATAAAGATGAACCGATTGTAGAAATTAAAATGCATGACGCAGCTTTCACTTTTATACCCAAATTCAGTTTTAATGATAATGAATACTTTATTTCCTTAAAATACACATACATGAAATAAAGATATACAGATATATCTGATATATCATATAAATAAAAATACATTTCTGCACATGACTTCACCAAGCAAGGATTTGGTAGTTATCCACGACCTATAAAATCAGATACGCATTAATCATTCAAGTAATTCATAGCTCCCATTTACTTAGTTACATGAATGAAATAGTTAATTTAAAACCTATACTGGTAAAATAATTACCAGATCAGGCGATCTAATAAGATATCTTAATGAATTTTACTTTTCCTGTAACAAAATAGCGTAAACTCGAATTAGATAAGAATTTCTTATGACCGTTTCATGCTTGTGAATTTTGGCCCCAAGAAATTAAAGTCATTCTTACAAAATTAAACCTTGTTATCATATTAAATTTATTATTCTTATTATCAAATCAAATGCTATATTTAGAGAAGGTGACTGAAAATTGTCTGAATTTCATGATAGCAGTGCATTTAATTTTATACGATTTATAATCAGTATTAAATCCCTCATTTAAGGTTTTCCTGTTTCGAAACAAGCTAACCCAGAGTTCTCTTCTGCTCCGAAAAAAATAGTGTTCATGTGAAATTTTTCTTAAATTTTTGTTTAAAAGAATAAAGAAATTAAACTTAAATTTTCAAAAAAAAATTATTATATTTAAATCCTAAATATAAAATTAGGATTAGGACAAGTAGAAAATCTTAAAAATGGCCTGCCTATACAAGCAGCCGTGATTCACCTATAATATCTTTCTCTTCTCAAATTAGTGAACAGATATCTGTAAAGTTTGGTTAGTTTATTTAATCATGGCAAAGCACTCGAGAGATATCTACTAAAGGAGTACCTTCATGGAGAAGTTTTAAGGGTAATTGACTCGTATGAAAGTTAAGCATGCGCTAAACCACGAAAACGCCCATGCAGTAAATCCGTTCGCCGAGATTTGAAACCTAGACCAAACTACCAGTTTCCAGCAATTTCAACACTCGGTGCTTGTTGGTCACATACTGGAAGAACTGTAGGTAGGTTTAGTGACAAATTGAAGTTTTTCCAACTTTCAGGAACTTGGAGCGGAGAAAGCTGGGCTTGGCTCATTCGATTATGGCAAAGCACATGAACTATATGTTTAAAGAAAGATAGCCTTCTCCCGCATTGCATAATCCAATGCTTTTATGAGGGCGATTTTGGCGGAAACTAGCTTGTATACATATTACATATGGGGAGAACCATGAAAAGGCCCATGCAGCCCGCTCATTCGCCAGGATTAGGCCCACCAGCGGCCGAGAGGCAAGGTCGCTGAATAATGATATTTCGGTGAGAGGTTTGAATCCAGCGCACGGTCTGGCTGCAAGGAAGTTTTCGTGGTTTTCCCCATGTGTAACGTGTATACGATCCAGTTTCTCTTAGAAAGTTCTCCACGAAGGCATCCTTTCCCTTAAGCAGATAGCCCTCGAGGCTTTGCCGTAATCATATAAACCAAACCATTCGCTCGGAATCGACCAAGGTCGAATTTAGTCACCGCTTCCAGCTATTTGGAGACAGACAAACCTGCGAAAAGTATTATAATTAACGAGGAATTACCTTTTGAATACATTAGATAATATTATCACGAATGCGATGTTCTGTACTTGTGCTCTTTGATGTGTATGATCGAGTTTTAACGCATTCGGTAGCTGAAGCATGAAGACTTCATTGGATGCTATGCAAGTCAAGGCTTTGCATTTTTATTACATTTTCCCAAATTCTTAAAACATTTTGTAGACCTGCCCTAAAATTAATTTTTCTTTCTAAATGTATTATTATCGAATCAAAACAATATTAAAGCTGAGAACTATTGTTTTCTCATGTTTAAATCAGAAACATTTTATTAGATTAACAAGAATTAGTGTTAATACAGACCTTTCTTAAATGAAAAGGTGACATTCAAATTTTTGTTAAAAGGGATTCCCGTTCCTTTAAACAAGGAGCAAAATGCGTTTGTATTCAACATTTCTATTAAAGGACATTAATGATTTGTTTTAATCTTTTGATTTCTGTCTCTGTTGGAAAATTATAAATTTATTCTAGAATTAACCTAAATACTTATCGAGAATTCATTACACTGTACTAAGGTTTTACTTAATAATAAAATTTACAATCTGTTAAGTTAAAGATTGATAGATATATAAAAATAATAGAGGTGAAACTACTTCAGTCTCACATACATAATGCTCCAAATTTTAAAATACTCAAATTGCTCAATAATCCTAAACAATGATTTCTCATTCTGTTTAAAAGATTAAGTCAAATTAATTTTTTTCCATTGTATATCATTTAATGAAATAAGTAAAAAACTAATATATATGGCAACATCATTCAAAGCGTCTCATAGGCATTACATCATAAAAACGCTATTGATAGAATTGCATTCAGAAAAGAGCAAATTTAAATTACATTAAAAAAAAAATCCAAGTGAATGACTTATTTCTCTTAAATTGAAACTCTTATAAATAAGTCACCTGTTTTGACTTCTTATAAACCACTCTATAGAAAATGTAAGGATCAGTCAAACAAATTAAGAATGTACTTTTTGAAGTAAGATTGACAGTTTTCAGTAAAAGCAAAAATCAAATAAAAATACAAAATAAGCTTATTGTAAATTATACTGTTTAATAAGATAGACCTGCGGTTAATCCCTAGAAATAGGCCTTAGCATTTAGGTTTATGTTACACCAACGCGAGTGCCAATCTTTGCGTAATAACTGTAAAAATTTGCATAGGTGGCATTTTATTTTTAAATCAAAGTTTTCAAAAAGGAAAGGTGAGTATGTTTTAAGATATTAATGTAGTTTATTAACATGATTTAAGCAAATAAGTGCTGTGGTGTATTTAATTATGGCAAAGTACACTAGGGCTATCTGCCTAAGGGGAGGGATGCCTTCGTGGAGGACTTTCTGAGGGAAACTGGCTCGTATACACGTTACACATGGGGAAAACCACGAAAACACTCATGCAGCCATGCAGAACCATGGATTCGAACCTCGGACCGAACTACCAGTGTTCAGCGACTTTACCGCTCGGCCGCTGGTGGGCGCTTAAGCAAATAAGAGATTTTAATACTGGAAAAGATGAAAATATTTTATATCATTTTTCATCTTTTCTCTCATCAGGCACGACAGTGTCTACTTGAAACTGAAATTCGAAATGAACGAGAAGCCAACAATAGGATTGGTGTTTAATGTGTTAAATGGGCATTATAATTTTTCGAAACTTTTAAAAAAGAAAACAGATTCCAAGAAAATTTGTCTTCCGTATTTCAGTTCGTTTTGCAAATGAGTCGAATATTTTCTGCTGTTTACTTTATTATTAAAAAAGTGAACAATTATTTAATTCCTTAATGAATACATTCCTGGAAGACTTGGTCAGACGATCCAACGTAGTGAACAGTATAGGAAAAAATGACGAACCCATATTTAACATTTCATTACTCAGGTATCTATGAGGGCTTTAAGGTACCTTACTTTCTTGGTATTCGGAAAGAAAAAGCTCCAACTCATTCAAATTATTAACTCTTAAAGTATTTAAAGTCTGAAAGTAAATCTTCCTCATAAGCTCGTTTACAGACTTTGTTTTTACATTTTAGCACTTAGTAATTGAACTAAAGGTATGGGCCAATGATAAAATAAATACATCTGTCAAGTCCGTGTTCCTTTTAAATTTATTTTGTGATGATAGAGAATAGAAGATAATGTGGAAGTATAATAACTAGAAAATATGTAGCGTAGATACAAACTATAGTATTGGAATGTTGAGTTAATTTAGAAATGATAAATATATGAAAGAATATTTAGATTTATTACATTACGGCAAAAGCATATTAGGCTTTTCTTAAATGACTTCCTTGGGGAATTCATTTGCTTAATATACAGGAAAAACCATAAAAAGGCTCATTCAGCAAGCACAAAATCACCGGATTTGGGTTCAGATTAAAGTACCAGTTTCCGGCAGTATTACCGACTCTTCAATTGCTGAATCAAGTACAAAAGAATCAAAAGAAACAAGTTAAACGCAATTTATTTGCTCGATCAAAAGATTTTTTTCAAAGAGTATGTTTTATCCAAACAGTATATTATGTAAAATACTAAAAGTATATCTTATAGAGAACAGTATATACAGTCTCTTATTCTGATAAACGTGTACCGTTGAAATTTCAAAATTAAATTTATGATATTATGTTACTTGAATAGACAATATTTCATGGTGTGTGGTTTTTCTCCAAGTGAAACTTAATGATCCTAATTTCCTTTACAAAGTCCTCCATGAACGCATATCTCAACTTAGGTTATTCTGAATACGGCAAAGTAAGCAAGGATTGTCTCCCCAAGGAAATGGTTGCTTTCGTGGAGGACCTTTTTAGGAAATCGGCTCGTAATTACTTTACACGCAGGAAAACCAGGAAAGCAGCTCGGTCCCTTGGGTTAGAAATCAGGCGAATTTCCCAGCATGGAGCAGTCTTAACTATTTTGAGTGTACACGAGCCAATGTACCTTAGAAAATGCTAAACGAAGGCATTCCTCCCTTTAAGCAGATAGCCCTCGCTTGCTTTGTCGTAATCAAATAAACCAAACTTAATCATTTGGCTACTGATGTAGATTAAAAAGAGCTGAACACTAAGCTGTAAATTATACTTTCTGCAGATTTTGTACTTTTAATCCTTCTTCAGAAATTCATTTTCAAGCATATTCAGACACGTTATTAAATTAGAATTGCTTACTTAAGAGAATATTACTAGTCTTTAACCGCTCGGATGCTGGTGGGGCTTCCTCACCTTAAGATAATTCTCGCTCGCTCTGTAGTCATAAAAATAAATCAGACCAGTCACAAAGGGAGCTTGTTCCTGATATCAAAAATAGAGTCAAACTACTATCCAGTTTATTCAGTGAAGTAAAGTACATTTTTAACTTTTAAATATTTGAATATTTTTTATTTATCTGGAAAGCACCATTACTTTATTCAAAAATATCTTCTTTCAAACACATACATTTCATCTGCCATAATAACCATATTATTTCTATTTAACTTAAAACCATAAACTTTTGCAAAATTTTTAACATAGGACTGCATTAAAATGCACAATCC